CATATATACTTTAAGAACACAGTAAAATATTTTTACGTTTTCATATTTAATTATTTTCACGTTTTCAACATTAAGGGTTAACACATTATAAAAACATTAGTGCTTAAATGCAAAACAACTCATATCATTTTTGTTGCTGATACATCGGAGTGGCACACACAAAAGAAAAATTCATACCTGACGAGCGAGGTTAAATTTTGTAAAATTTGGTGCATTGAAAATGTATCTTGGTGCATATTTTTCAGTTTGTGCCAAGAATAATTCACTTGGCAAACTTCTTAATTTATAGCAACCTACTTTCTCTTTTTTCATAGTACAATAAAAAGTCATCGTTCATGCTTTTAAATAACATTATTAAAGTGTGTAAACCACATTTATGTTATTATCGCTTATAACAAATATGCCAAATATCAAAATGCGCCAATATATAAATTCATGTATATCCTAAGGAATTTTGAATAAAAAACTCTAATTTTTTGCAGGTATGCTTAGAAATACATCTACTTTAAGATGATGGTAAAAATTTCATAGATTATAATTCAAAATTTTTTTCAAAAAATTTATAAAAATTATATAAAATGTTTTATTATAAAAATATTTATTACATTATATAAATATATAATTTTAAAATAAAATCGTAAAAAAAATGAATTTTATTTGGAATGAACGTGAGATATTGTAATACTGCATGATAATTTGAGAAAATTTAAGCATTTTTGTTGTGATAATAATACATTTTTGTTCATTTTTTCATCGTACTCACGCAACAATATTAATATTCAGTTTCTTCTTCCTTTATGCGACGTTATCACAGTAAGGTTTCTCTTAATTTTTCTAACAAATAATTTTTAGTTAAAAGTTATTTTCCTGTCCTCCTGTCTGAATTTCACCTTACAACTTCAAGCCTGAACGTATTTTCAGAAATGCAAATGAGGTGGTGTGGTGTATTTAAATATGGCAAAGCACACTAGGGCTATCTGCCTAAGGGGAGGGATGCCTTCGTGGAGAACTTTCTAAGGGAAACTGGCTCGTATACACGTTACACATGAGGAAAACCACGAAAACGCCCATGCAGCCAGCCCGTTCGCGGGATTCGACCTCGGACCGAACTACCAGTGTTCAGCGACTTTACCGCTCGGCCGCTGGTGGGCAAATGCAAATGAATGGAAGATGTATTTAACTGTGAAGTTCTACTGACTTCGTTAGAGAGCCAGAGATTCTAGACAGCGCGCGTTAGCCTTTTGGCTATACTCTTTCTAAAGCTATTATTACGCTGAGCCATACTTTAGGCCCTTTATAGCTTCGCCGTTAGTTAGTGTTAAAGGGCCAAATTTGTTAGAATATTGATAGCTTCGGCTATATGTTTTAGTTAAGATTAGTTAAGTTTTATTTCTTAGTTTCCTGAGTTCAAGCCCGAGTGGAGGCTTTACTGTAAACTCCTAGAAGGCGTTTTCTGTGATCTTTATTTGGAATAATAATAAAAGGTATGTAACATTTCTTGAGTATCTGTTCTCTGTCTACCGAACTAAAGCCATTATTCGCTTACAAGTTCTCAGCGTTCCAGACACAGTGCAGTAACTTCTAAGTTTGCAATCTTACAAGTTGAACGTGGAATGAGTGAATACTGAAAGTGTTATAAAGAAATCAATTAAGAAAAAAAGAAAATTATAAAGCACAAACACGAATTTCATTTCGACAGTTACATCCAGGCCATCCGCCTCTGAAAGTACATATTTGTTTCATTGTTTTCAGTTCTCTTACCTGGATTTTCTACAGTTCCAGATAACCAAATAAAAATAAAAATATGCCCATATGCACGTTTTTAATGACTAAATTTGAATTTTGTTGCATAATTTTTATAATGTTATAACGCTCCTATATTTCTTGATTATCTTCCAATTTGCTTAATGACGTAGTTCTGCGGAACGGAACGCGATTGTAAAGCGAGGAGTGCCTGTATTACGTAAGCAAGTTCTTATGGATATGTTGAATTAAATGTATGATAACCAATTATTTATTTTTGTAGGAAGATAATCAGTGGCGTTTGTTTGCATTCAGGCAAACAAAGGCAAACAAAAGGTACCATACAGATTATAATGAAACAAACTGACAGTTTAGTTTTTTATAAGGCTTTCATGTCACGGTTCAGTGGAATATGAAATTAGGGGAAGTTTGACATTTTATATTTGTAGTCATCCGAGTTAAAAACTCTCTGTACAGCTATTTAGAGCATTGAAATCATTGATCACTTCTAGTCGAATTCTTGCAAATATATTCTCTTAGACTTATTGCAATATCTGGAACTTTAGTTGTAGAGACATTAGGTTATTTCGAAGCAGGATATGTGAGAAATGAGCAGTGCTCTCGTCGGGACTCGAATGACGGACCCCTCGAATACGCATTGAGCGTGCTGACCACCACACCACGAAAGCTTGACAAGAAGGCAAGGGAAATCCCTTACATACTCTTCCTTTTAAAGGGCAACTGGGGTTTTTAGGGGACACAATCGCCAAATCCTGGTGGCGAAAAATCATTCACCACCTTTTAGTTCGGGCGCCACTGTAGAGACATTAGGTTATTTCGAAGTAGGAGATGTGAAGAAATGATTAATGCCCTCCCCGGGACTCGAACCACCGACCTCTCTAATACGCATCGAGAGCGCTGACCACTGCATCACGAAGGCATGCCAAGAAGAGGGGAGAAATATGGTAACTGAAATAAAGTTATTATTGCAGATGGTAAGCCCATTTCTTGTAAAGAATTAGCTTAAAATGTCTCATTTCATGCTTGCGTTATATTAGGCTTCATTTTTAATGAAAGCTTAATAAAGCTACAGCAGCTGAAGCTTTAGATACAATTAAAACTTTTCGTAACATAATTTCGCGTAGACTGTCATCTAAATTTCAGACTGTTGTGTCTATGTTTCGTTAACTGAATTAATTTTATGCTTACTGGTAATTCGTCTCATTACTTGTTTCAGGCTAGGTAGGTAATATATTTTCTCTGGCCTAGTTTGCTTTTTAACTAAGCGATAGGTAGCTTTGGGTTTTCTATAGGGCAATTTTGAATGCACTCCACAGTCCGAAAACTTCTTGAATAATTTGATTAACGAATACGAGGTTGATTTCACTTTGAAAGATACATGTGGCTTCAAATATTAGGAAAAAATTGGTTGGTCTTATGGTGGGATCATAACATGATTTATTAAGTGGATATCATTGGCATTGATCTGACACCGCGGAATGAAATCACTACTTTTTATTGATTTAAAAATGAGAGCTTTTCTGGATGCGATACCGGATTTTTCTTGGCAAGGTTCACAAGGACTTAAATATTGTTCAACACTTTTATAATGTTATATTTTAATACTTTGCCTTGCTCTTTCATCATTCTCCATCGCCCTTCATATCTACTTGGAATATGGATCTAATGAATTATTAAAATTCTCCTCCATTAAACTGCTGCATGCAATTTTTTTCAAATGTTTAACTAGTAAAATAAAGATTTTCAGAGTTCCCCTGTCAAAATACGATGGCTATAGTATTTTGATCGCCTTTAGTATTTTGTTTATCTTCTGTTGATTTGACAAAATTACCTTTGTTACCTTTAACTTTTGCCAAAAGCAGATTATACGCCTAATTTTAAATTTTACTTTGGCATGTTTCTCTTTTAATTTATTAAATAATTATTCATGAACATAAGGAATTTTAACTTATTTCGGAAGCGGTATATACTGGATATTTCTTTACAAAGAATTATTGCCTTTCCTAGAGCGTTTTTTCGTATTGTAACCGAAACCAGGTCGAATGGTAATCAGAAGATAGTCTGATGTCATTTATCATTTCATTGCCAGTAATAAACTTGACTAATGTGTACAATGCCTATGAAAGAGTAAGTTCCATGCAAAGTAGCTCCTCAATGTTGACATATGCAGCGAACTTATCTCATAGAGAATAATTGGAAGGCAGCTATGTATGTTTGCGTTATTCTTTGAAATCATACAATTAATTAGCACACATTCAGATTTCATCAAACTATATTTACATTTTTAAAGCATTTTTAAGATAGACTTTAATTAAATGCTAGCTTAATTAAATGTTAATTTAACTGTTTAATACTGTAGAGTTGCGCTATATTTATGTTACTGCATTACATTAATTTATACATAAACTTCGGTATGTACTTAAAAAAATTCACACATTTCAATTACGTGTACAAAGTTTAGATGAGCTTTTTATTGCTCGAAAACAAGATTTAAGACTCCCAAAAATTAAATTATTAAAATAACAAAAACTCCGAAACGAAGTGTCTGCTTGTAAATCATAAATCATCGTTGATATTTTTATCTATTTTTAAGGATTTAAGATTAAACTGAGATTTCGTATTTTTTCTTATTTTATGTGTTTTACTTATATTTTTCTTGCGCCTTTGTTTTAATCAAGAAAACCTTCACTCAGTTTATACCGTATTAATTTATAAATAAAAGTAAACGTATTATTAGGTTATTTTGAAGTGGAAGACACAAAAAATAATCAACCTTGACGGGACTCGAACCTGGACATCTTGATTGCGCTGAATGTGCTACCGTTATCCCACGAACTCCTGCAGGGAGGAGGAGAAAAACAACTTGCATAATAAGTGAGAAGTAAAATGGATGACGATAAAAGAGTAATAGGCGCTGTGAAAAAATTTTCCAAGCCCTAAGAATAATTAATTTGTATTAAATTTTACTCTTTTATTTTAAACTACATTAATGAAAATGGAATTTAAATCTAATATTAACAAAATCATTGCTTATTTCAGAAAAAAATAACTAAAAAGTTTAATATTTTTATCGCTGAATATTTGTTTTTAGTTTCCTTACTTCCTATTGTCGCATTGTTGACAACTATCAGTTGATGTTGATGCGTCGATATTGACTATTGTGATAAAATCCACTTGAGAAATTTCCTTTATTAGGTATTCATAAAAATGCAGAAGGTACAAATGTCAAATTGACATGAAATAAATATGTTATTTTAAAGTGATGAGGGAACAAAAATATTTTCTGTAAATGCATATATATATAAATATAAGAAAGCTGTGTCTTGCGGAATCCGCTATAGTCATAGTTGGACGGAATCAAACGGCTTAGTTCTGCATATAATTACTGAATTTTAAGTAGGTAAGTATCTCTCCATTATGCATCTCACTTGTTATTGCAAATTTACTTGCTTTTAATATTATTGGAAGTTGGCAGTTTTTTGGCTTTTCTTCTGTTGGAAACTTCGGCAATATTTCTTGCTAAAAAATTATTCAAAATACAAGAGTAAACAGCATAAACGTCAATTTTTTTATTATCAGGCATTACAAAAATATATGAAAATAAATTATATTTTTATATGAAAACATAAAAGGAAATCTGAAACCTTTTAGATATCTTAATTAATCTGCATATGTTAAATGCGAAAAAAATATTGGACAGTTCTACATCTGCCGTTCTACTGGGCCAAAATGGGACTTTTTTCTGAAATGACATGCCGAATGTTTTCCCATATTTCAATTCTACGACTCAAATTATGGCAAACTGCCAAGTGTTGTAAAAATCGCACGAATAGTTTTTTAAAAATTAGCTCTCAAAATTTTAGCTCCTTAATGTTAATTGAATTTGGTATGAGATATGTGTGAATTTACATATTGGCGCGTTTTGAAATTTGGCATATTTGTTGAAAGCGGTAATAACATCAAATCTGGTTTAGTCACTTTGTTAAAAATATTTAAAGTAGGAACGATGTGAATTTTTTTCCGCTCTTGCACAATGTAAAAATGGAAAGGAAAAGATGTTGCCGTATATTAAGAAGTTCGCCAAGTGAATTATTCTTGGCGTAAACTGAAAAAAAATGCGCCATGATAAAGTTTTAAATTTCGCCGTAAATATCGCGCCAAATGTTTCAAAATTTTATATTTAGGCATAATTTATGTCGTATAAGCGAAATATCGAAAAACATTGGCATGTCATTTCAGAAAAAGTCCGATTTTGTGTCAAAATACCTATTTTAGAAAAATGTTATATATAAGTCTAGTATATATATATATATCCTAAGTAGCGCTTTCGAGACATGAAAAAAGCATTTTGAATTTTATCAATCCGCCCAGTAAAGCAGAAGACATTGAACTGTTCCTTTTTTTCTTGCAGTTTATATTCAGTAACAAGTCTTATTTTTAGGCCTAAATCAGTGGAATGCATTTAAAAATTATTTAAGAATATGATCCATAAAATATGTTTATTAGAAATCTTGTAAGCATGTAATTGTTGGAATCAATTTGTTTTTAAATTGAACATAAACATGTAATGCAAAATGAAATTATAAGTATTTTTATTATATTTAAAATTTAAACTCCTAAGATTGAGAAAGCATTTATTTTCATTTTATAACTCCCTATATCAATTGCTTTCCAAATTATATCACATTTCTCTGTAAACTTTCTTTAAATTCTTATTTCAGATTTTACAAAAGCGAGATATGAAAAGCACATTCGTGATCGTTTTCTTGGCGATTGCCTTACTTGCCATGAAATCCATAAATTCTGCTCCTGCTGATCCTTCTGAAGGTAAACTTTGAATTGTTTAAGCTTATATTATTTTATGCGTGTTACTCACATTTATATACTTAAATTCTGTATGATAATACTTGGAAAAGAACAGCAATTTTTCTTCTGAGAAAAATCGAAATTCACTGCTGTTTCGGAGCACTCAATTTTTAAGTAACTGTTTTAAAGGTAATTAAATTATTAGCACGTTTTTCGCTATTTAATTGCCTATTTATGAATATCTTAATCATTTACACTTAATTTTTATGATACAGTTTTATTTTTCAATTTAAAGTAAAGCTTGAACTACGAAATTAATACTTTGTTGTAGATCAAATGTTTCTGCATTTTTACCTTTTATATTCGGTAGTAGAATTATATTTGAAAGAGATCATTGCTAATACTTTTTCCCAACTTGGGAATAGAGCTATCACTATTGACGTCTTTTCATAATTTACCTATTTTGCTCCTACCAGTATTAATTACATTATATGAGTTATTTGCAAATTTATTATATAACGTTTACTTCTAAAAACCTGATTGTTAATAATTACAGAATATAGTTTCCCATTATACTTCCTTAGTTCTTAATTTGATTTTGTTTAGCTTAAAACTGTTGTCAGAGTGCGTTAACCCTGGATACTACACATGAGAGATTATTAAAGTCATAAATAATTAACTGCACATACAGGAGTAAATATACAATGCTCTAAAGTAAAACACTCGTTAGATTCTAGATATGGTATATATTATCTATTACAATACTAATCTGAATAAAACGGAGCAAGAAAATGCTGCAAATCTTCCTACATTAAATATCGCCATTATAGACTTCAAAGTAGTCACTTCCTGCATATTTGTACCAACACATGTGATACGAATAAAGTTCTTTATTTTAACTGACGTGTGTTTTGAGATTATGACTAAATGTCTAATATTAAATCCCATTTGGAACATTTTGTGTTTTAACGCATTAACTAAAGTAAGTCTCAGGTTTCTAGACCGGACGAGGAAGATGCAGAAATATTTCTCTTCCTCCAAAAGTTTTAGTGACAAGCTGTTGAATCTTGATAAAAATTTTATTCGTTTTGCAATTGAAAAGTGTTCTGTCTATCCTTCGTTAAAAGCAAATGACATATCACGAAGAAGCAGTTGTCTTCATAAGGTATTTCTCCCGCCTTCTGAGCATGACTTCGTGGTGTAGTGATCAGCACGCTTGGCGTGTATTTGAGAGGTCCGTGGTTTCAGTCTCGACGAGGGCATTGCTCATTTTTCATCTGTTCTGCTTCGAAATAACCTAATAACTCTACAGTGGCGCCCAAACTAAAAACGATGGTGGATGATAATTCTCCACCACCAGGATTTGGGGATTGGGTTACCTAATCCTCAGTCGCCTTTTAAAAGGAGGAGTATATAACGTATTTCTCCCGCCTTCTTAGTAGGCCTTCGTAGTGTAGTGGTCAGCACGCTCGACGCGTATTCGAGAGGTGCGTGGTTCGAGTCCCGGCTAGGGCATTGAATATTTTTCATCTTCCATGCTTCGCATCAATCTAATGTCTTTACATCTTTACCTTATTCAGTAAAAGGTTTCGGGTCTAAAACAAAGAGATTAACGAATGACCCTAACCGTTTGATATTTTATAAAACAATCTGTCAAATTGTTTCAAATAATATTTAAAGCCTAAAGTATCAATACAGAAAAGAAGAATATAATTAATAAATGAAATAACATACGTACATAGCTCTGCCTTACAACACTGTGAAGACAATAATGCAGACTTATCTTAGAGATGCCATCAGCGAATCTGAGGCACTAAAATATATTCCTTTAGAATCACTTGCAGAATGAACATGATGCAAAAGATAGAAAATTAACACAAATACCGTTTATTAATACTTCCTTAGCCTTATATTTGTCACTTCACTATGTTAAATTTTTACACTTGGGGCAAAGCCGAAAAGGCCGGCAAAGGCGGGAAAACCACTTGGGGCAAAGCCGAAAGCCGAGGCTCTTGTTATGTGCTCTGGTTGCTATGAAACGTCTGAGATTTGATAAAGTACTTACGATTATTTGTTTAGTTGAGATGCATTTTTTACCCTGCAGCTGTGTACAAGCAATTAAAATCCTGCATGTCTGCCCTAAATTAGCCTGATCTTTCACATTTAAATTCATTGTCTTCTGCATTTTTAAAACAACACCATATGATATTTTTTCTTTTCACCTGTTTTCATGCAAAGAAAAACACATCTTCGGACTTCTTTCTTCAATGAATGTTCATTGACAGAGAGATACATGGTGTACCCCACGAGAAAGTATGCAAATCTCATGATTCATTGATGGCATTTTATGCGCAAAATTTCTTTGTAAACCGCCTGAGGCATCGAAATAAACTGCCTCGTTCACTGAATGACGTGGAGGGAAGATGTCGAAGGCATTTATAAAATGGAATGAATTTTGTGGGATACATCTAGTTGGGATACATTTTAGGGTCTTGGAGAATTTGAGGTTCTCGATATTATGCATTTTAATTAATTAAAAGTTGTACCTGTGAGCCATAGTCATGAAATACGACAGTAATATTCGGTTTTGGAGAATATTCGGCCGAATCTCCAACGAGGCTGAGCGTTATTCAATTAGTATATTTTCGTCAAGTATCTTAAGAATGAAGCCATGCTATAACGGGATCATAAATGTAGAAGAACAGGTATTTGAGAGGAATAAAGGCAAATTTTAATTAAAGAAAGATTTTTAATTTGCTTAATTTGTTTTATCTGAATTTCTGAATTGTTTGACATACTTATTTTTCCTTGGTTAAAAATATTTAAAATAATTCATTTTGGTTGATTCAACAAATTCTAACTAACAGATGATTACAAAAAATTTTTATTAATGGCCTTATTAAAATTGTAATGCTAATACAAAAATTAATTGAATAAATTGTTATTAATCTTGAATTATTTTTTTAGATGAAATTGCCTTGGAAAGCTTGGATGAAACGCAGCGGTAAACAATTCTTTACACATATGTTACAGTTTTCTAACGGATTTGATATGTTAAAATGTCAGAAAGAGTAGAATAATTATAATGCATGATAAAAGAGCCATTTTTATATGTCCTTGTTTAGTGTAAAAGAAATTTAAAAAATTCATTTTTAAAAGAAAATAAGGCGCACATTTTTATTCTGGTTTCAACTCTGATGAAATAGGTTTATGATAAAAATAGTTTTTTTTATATTACCCTTTGGGCGTAATATAAAATCTAAGATTTTCAGAATTTTTTAACGTTTTGTGAGTTGACTTTATTTATTAAATATCTCTCAGACTTTCGCCACATAAAATTCAGTTTAAAAACAAAATCACAATTTTTTTAAAAATAGCATATCTTTATTATTTGCTACAGACAGTCAGTCTACCACGCTGGTGATAGAAATGTTTTATTCCTTGCAATATTACTTTACTATACTGCTATAAAATCGTTGAGTTTTTTTATCAAAAATTCATTAAAGATTTATAAAATACTAGCAGCTACTCTGCCAGCATTCATGTGGCTTTTAAATGTACCTGGAAAATGCCTGAATGGAATACCAAACGTTAAATTTAAAAACTGCGCAGAATTTTACTCTGCAGGACAACTTCATCAAACAAAGAAACATTTTTAAAAAAGTGTATTACATATAACAAAATTATAATGAAATAAGCAATATCCCTTAATATAAATATTAATTATACTAAAAAATAAATTAACTAGCTTCCCGTTGCCTTCTCTCAGCAAACGTCCAATATCCAAGGGAAACATAAATTTTAAAACTGCGCAGAATTATCGCCCTCATTTTTCCGAGTATCAACAGTCAGTAGTTCAATATACAATTGAATGAAAAACTGTTGCCAAAACACATTTCTAAAAGAATGAAATTATTGAAAATGATGGGAAAAAATGGAAAAGATAAAATTAAACAAAACTCTGATTCGGATTTTGAGAAAAGCGCTTCGATGTACACTGGCTCTTGTCTAGGTGCACTTATGTACCAAATTTCGTAGTCCTGAATCTATTAGCATACGCTCAGCACGAACGAAAAGTATACAGACTCTTTCATCTTTATATATATATAAGCGGCTAAAGTGTGTGTCGCCGATAGTTTATTGTTGCCAATCGGGAAAATGAGCACGGAAATTAACGTTTCCGCAGTTTTTAATTAATATCTCGGCCGATTAAAGTCGTACGAAGATGAAAACGGTATCGATAGATTCGGAGAATTTTTTGGAATCCGAGGATACGCGTCCCGAATTTCAACTCGGTGCCGTTCCTTAGATATTCGAGAAAAAAGAATTTGGCACATAGCCAAATCCCTGTAATAGGGAAAACCCAAGAACGAAAGTCGAAAATGTAAGGAAAACGTAGGGGAAAATTAGTTTTTAATTAATATCCCGGCTAATTAAAGTCTCAAGAAGACGCGAATGGTCAAAATGCCGTGCCACGGACCTATGAAATCCAACGGTGTGCTTCGCTAAACCCAAGAGCGAGCTGTTTCGGAGGAGATGATGTTACTTCACCCTATATATATATGCGGCTTAAGTGTCTGTTTGTCGCCGATAGTTTATTGGTTGCTTGCGCAACTGTACTAGCCAATGGGGTGAAGTGCCACGGCACAGGGTTGCGTTTCATTGAGACGTAGACAATATCTCCTGTAAAACTTTTGCCTTTGCTATGACCATTAATAATTCTCAGGTCCAAACGCTTAAGCGTGTTGGCATTTTTTTTTTATTTTCATTTGGACACGGTCAACTTTATGTTGCCGGTTCAAGAGTTCGTGAAAGAACGGAAGTAAAATTAAAAATAATGGATGGTCCTTTGCAAGGCGAGCTTAAAAATAATGGAAAGATCTACGCAAGAAATGTTGTGTACAAAGAGATCTTTGACATGTGAATTAACATTTCAATATTTAAATCACCTTTATTGATTGAGTTAGAGGTGGGCTCGTTAGAAATGTACTGCCAGTGGTTTCCTCCATTGCACTCTACTTTAAGCAATTAAGCAAGTAGAAGGGGGAAACCCCTTGGGGCAGTACGCAAATGGGCGTCCTCGCCGCCTGCCCTAATTAAATTAGCAGACACCTATGCACAAATAATTTTAATTACAATCTATAATATCTAGAACAGCGGTCATTTCGTATGACCGCCAGGCTTTCTAGTTTATTATATCTAGAGAAGTTTGGGGCACATGTTTGGGGAAAGGACTAGCTTATTTAAAATTTGAAGGCATTAGGTACCATCTTTTCTTTACAGTTCGAAGAATATCCCTCCATACATACATACATACATGCATATTCTTCGTTACTTTAATTTCTTTAAAAATCATACGGGGCGATAATATTTGGTAGCCGCAATTTGAAAAATTATTCGTCGCTTATACTGGATACCGTTTGCAATGAACGCCGTTTATAGTAGACAAATGCTATTTCGGGAATAATACCCCGTTCGGGATAATGCCCTTTTGGGCTAATTATATTGTATGAGAATTCATTTTCATATTTATGACTTCTGTTATGTTGCTGAGTCTCATCGGCGCAACGTTCTAACATATGGCGCCGTAAGTGAACTGCGATTATAACAACTGCAAACCAAGTATAAGTTCAAAGGATTCCGTGATTTTGAGTAGTAGTTGGAATACCATTTCTTTATGAATTTTAAAGTGTTGTGTAAAAGTAATTTTGCCTAATACCTCAAGGCTGGGGCCTCAACTTTGGGGTAATAGGCAAATTAGTTTTGCCTCTAACACCTTGATGCCACTGAATTTTCTAAGCTTACTGAGATTGTAAACAGTAAGAACATAGAACCATGTGAACAGTAACAAATTATTGTACATGCTTATACTTTGCATATTTGCAAATAGAAATAAAGTAAATGTGATGAAAACTTGTAATATAAAATGTAATGTAACTTGGTGAAAAAGAAGTAAACTAGATATAAATTACGTGTGAACGAATATGTTGTAGAGACATTGGAGGATTTTTTCCGAAGCCAGAGAGATGAAAAATGGGCAATCGCCTTCTCCTGGAATCGAACCTCGGAAACACCGGCCCAGGCACGAAGGCACGGTAGGAAAGAGGGAGAAATATCTTATAATGTAGTAAAGATTTATTAAAATATAGTAATATAGTAGAAATTAGTATTACTGGAAATGAAAAGTTATTAGAATGTTAGTGGAAAACACTCTTCCGAAGAAATTTGTTTTCATAGTTAATTCAAGGCATTAGCTTAGTATCTTTAAACACTTGAAGTGTGATGTCTTTGAGATCTAGAGTCTGAAATCTACTAACCAGGTATAATATATTAGAAATATGAGAAAAAAGTTTCATTAACGCAACATGCACATAACGCGCAAACTGGAGAGCGAAAAAATTAAAAATATGTTAAAATAAATTTTTTAGATACAACTTGCTATTGCTGTCGCGCCTGTTAATTAATTTCGTTTTTGTCTTTTTAGCTTTAATATTAAGCATCGTTTTTTCGCTCTTACGCTATGTATAATGCGACAGCAAAAATCTCCAAAATTTTAACAGCAGCATAGCAGCATATGTTTAGAATTCCTGATGCAGTGTTAAGTGCAGGCATAATAGTTCTATTTTTTTTTTCAGTCTTTTCTAGGTTAATCATATCAGTGTTCTGTTTACTTAGTATGATGGCTTAGTAAACTTTTTGGCCTTTCTATTAACTTTTTTGTGTTAAATTTAATTATTAAATATTACGTTCATCCCATTTACACACGTAGCTAAATCACAGAATATTAAAACAGCATACCTTCAGAATTTCCGATAGATAGTTTTGCACGCTGAGGATATTTTTTTTTGAAACACTGTTGCCACTTCTCCCTTTGCTTATTTTGTTAATAATAAAATTCATTATACTTTCTACAAAACAGGAAACAGAAAATAAAACTAATTCGAAATTCAAAATTCGTGATTGCGGGTACTAATATTCAGGTCAAGGACTACGCTGTTCAATATTTGATGGCTCTAGTTACCGTTGTTTTTTTTACAATGCAAGAAACATGCATAATCTCACGCAGATTCTTTATTATTTCATTTCTTACACTAATACAGAGCTATACAGAGCGATAATGTTTGATGGCAATAACTTGAAAAGGGATTTGTCGTTGATAGTGAACCGAAGTAAATCCCATTTCAAAAGTAATAGCCTCTTTACATTTTTTAATTTAAAAAAAAAATTTCTTGAAAACTCGATAGAAAATATCCTAGCTTTAGACAGCATTTGAGATTAAACATCATTTGAGCATTCAAAACAGCATTTGAGACTAAACATATAAAATTTATGTTTCCCACTTTAAAAGCTTTAAGGATAAATTGCAAAGATAATCTTCACTACCCTTTACCCATAAGAGAACTAAATTTGTTGCTGATTCAAATGACAAGAAAACGTTTTAAATGTTCATCGATACGTTATTTTCTTGTTTTGATGTTTTCTAGAATGAGCTTTTTTACGTGGGCAAACTGAATACTTTAGCATAACAAAAATTAAATACTTTGAGCGTTTCTACTAAACATTAGTGTGTTCTTTTTGAGCTCATCAATAGAAATGAAGAAGAAAAAAAAGAGTCGAATATATTACACTTCGTTTTATCGGAAAGCATTTGCCTCATAATGATCTTTCCCAGTTCAAAAGAGCTTATTTTGATTTGTAAAATAAGCAACAAAAAGTAATTCAAGTGAGCTTCTGGTCATTAAACTGGAATACTTTTGCATTTTAAGCAAAATTCCATTCTGAATTATTATCTGGAAAAAAAACGGAAAAAAAAGTGTTAGAACTAAACTGAAGGCTAATAGTTTTCCATTATTGAAATTAATTTTATGTACGACTGGGGAAAAGAGGAAACAAAATGTAAAATATAAACGCGGTAAAATGACTAATTACATTTCTCAATCTACTTAATCATAACAGCTAAATAATGTAAGGGTAGGCATAATATAACCTTCGAAACATTGCACTT